GCTAGTGCCTCTTTTTCCGTTTGGCTATACCTGCGCTTGCAGTCTGTCAAAGTTCGATTACTATAGGCAATAATTCTAGGGCCATTTGTATCATTTTGTACAAGGACAGCACCAAGTCCGACAGGGCTAGCATCTGCTATCACCTGTCTTGCATCTCTGACGTCATAATACCCTTAAATCTGTATTTCCGTGAGCATCAGTTTGAGTTTTTGGAATGCTTTATCTTGTTCCCCAGACCATTGTTTTTCCAAGCTCTCTCTTTTACTCATCTTCTGTCTTAACGGGTGCTTCAGAAGTTCTGTCATGGCGGCCAAGTTAGGTATCCATTTGTTTATGTAGTTAAGGAGTCCTAAAAAACTTTGGAGTTATTCTATGGTCTTTGGGACCCTAAATTTCATAATGCTCTCAACGTACTTGTTGAAGGGTTTATTTACTCCTTCATGTGTAAGCCTGTGTCCCAGAAAATTCACATCCTGCGTTTTATATATGCATTTATTGCTATTCAGCACGGCGTTGTTTTTACTAAGTACCTGTAGAACTTTCTTTAGTCATGCGTCATGTTCTTCTTCACTGTTCCCGAATACCAGGATATCACAGTTTATCAGCATCCTTTTAATGATCTTCTGAAAAATCTCGGAAACGCAGGTAATTCCAAGCATTATTCTTTTATATCTATATAATCTTTTGGGGGTTATAAAAGTCGTTATGTGTCTGGATTCAGAGTGAATTTCCACTTGATGGAAGGCATTTTTTATGTCTAATTTGTTAAAATATTTAGCTTTCTTCATTTTAGACAAAAATGGTCCATAGTAGGCAGATGGTGGTTTTCTCGCAATATAACGGCGTTTGTACATCTCATATCTACGCACAAACGTAATTCACCATTTTCTTTCATGATTGGAACATTGGTGAAACCCATTTAGACGGGCCTTGCACTTCTTCAATTATATCACTGTCTACTGATTTCTTAATTTTGATTGCAACCTTCTCTTTAATGGGGATCGGTACTCTCCACTTGATTTATCCCGATACTAAGTTTTAAGACCACCCAGACGGACTGCTGTGTTCTTACCGAACAGGTTTCTAGTACCCCCCGAAATCACGTAAATGGTTGTATGTTCCTTTCGTCCATCGACTTCGAGTATAGTTTCAAATGAACCCTCTATTGCCAAACGAGAGTTACTACCATATGCTAATAATGTCTTGTTTGGTCTTTACATTCGATTAAAAGCATATACTTTTTTGCTTTTTAACTCTTCCCATATTTTGTAAGATATAAGATTCTTGCGCGATTTCGAATTACACTTTTCCGCAATTTGATCTATGAAATGATCATCTTGCTTTTCGAATGCACACTTTTCGGCCTGTTGACGTAATCTTATCAAAAACTTCTCAAATGTTTCTCCTTTTTCCTGTTTTAGCAATCGAAAAACATGCCACTCATAAACTTTGCTCCGTTTAGGTTGAAAATACTCGTAGAGTTTTTTATGGCTACTTAAAATACATCAACGGTTTCTGATGATTCGACATTGGCACCCGGTAAATTGTAGAATATTTTTTTTATCCCAGAGCCACCAAAATGCAATAGCGTAGCTCGTTTCTTGAGTTTCTACGTCCAGATAGATTAGTAGAGACCTTTTCCATTTTTCACACCTTATAGCCATAGATGTGATATCACATTAAAGCAGATAACGGTATCATTATTATTATTATTTTAGGGACAAACTGAAACAGTTTCTTATATTTTTTTTTTTCAATTTAATGCTGGTATTTTAATACCCAAAGTCCAATTTAATGGTAGTAACTTAGTACCCAAAGTCCAATTTAATGGTAGTAACTTGTACCCAAAGTCCAATTTAATGGTAGTAACTTAGTACACAAAGTCCAATTTAATAGTAGTAACTTAGTACCCAAAGTTCAATTTAATCGTAGTAACTTAGAACCCAAAGTCCAATTTAATGGTGGTATGTAAAATGCCACTAAAATTAAGCGACATTGTATTTCGGTTCGAATCGAGAGGAGTTTTTAGTAACATCTACTATTTTTCCATCAAAAATCTTTTTATATAAAAGTTGTGCTAATAGACATATGTTAAAATAAATCTTTATTTTTTCATTGCTACATAAAGAAAATAAACTTTTGCACATCATAAGCGTGGTCATATGCGAACATATAAATTATATAAATTATTAAAATGATCAGAACAGTGTTAAAAACAATAAATCATAATTCATTTATCCACAGTTTTTTTTTCCGCGGGTACTCTAGGAATTAATTTACAATTGCAATGCTAATAGTTGCACATTCCTAACCTATTTTTGATTATATCTTTATACTAAATAGGTACTTATCTTTTTCCTCGTCGCCACTTGTAATGTCTGCTATCTTCTCTAACCACTGTAGTGTAACACAGGCTCGGCACGCACTTTAACTAAACAACACGTCCACTCTCGCCCGAGGCTCTCGTGTAACTGACGCGGTGCGCTCGAGACAGTGACTTATATATAAATGTATGTTTGTGTATTTGTGTATGGTAAATTATTAGTAAATAACACAAATAACAATATTTACTGTATACTACATATATGCAAACACTACAGGCAGGATAGCCGAGCTAGATTACTCTCTGAGCATATATTTGTCCACAGGCACTGCACCCGAGGACAAGTGCTAGTCAGGGATGGCCGTGTTGTATATTGATGTCGCCATAGTGTAATAAGCAGCGCCATATAACAATTAGTTTTGAGAACTAATAAAATATACCTACTCCTTTCAGGACGGACGAGCAGACGAATAGTGTGTTTGTTACAGACACCTGCAATTTACATTTTTATTATGTGCATAGATCAAACGTATAACCAATACCGTTGGCTTAGTTTCAAATTATTACACAACGGAAAGTTTTTAATCGGTTTGTTATTCATTTACTAAAAGTCTTACCACTAACAGAATTATATATAATATTAAATTCATTTCTAAAGGAAGGAAAATACATAACTCTCCTTTTTTAAGTTCCTTAATTGGATAAAAAGTAGCCTGTAAATTGGCCCGGGTCACTAACTACATAAGAATTAATGCTTTGTTGTGTTAATCTGGTTCTGCTACGGATATCCACATTACCGAAGTCAGTCACGCAGAGAAACTTCATACTAACAGATAAGGATGACAAACGAGCACACAGTTCACTGAATCGTGAATAAACAAACAGACAGAAACAGAAACAGAAACTTTTTTATTCAATATAGATTATAAATAATACTTATTAAACGTCACTCTTTTGTTTAATTACCACTGGTTCGGAAAAAAAAACCTCTGTCCTGGGAAGAACCAGCAAGAAACCCAGCGGGACTTTTTTTTAAATAACAGCTTACAATCATGTATGTTACACAAATTAACAATATAACAAATTAGAAATAGCTTGGTAGCGATCACCTCATTTCCTGGGGTTATTATCATCCATAAACTATTTAATATTATAATAACCTTTTTTATACAAACTTAGTATAATAAAGTTTTTGGGCTTAGAGCAGGTCAAATTTTGTATATTTTCTGGAATTTTGTTGTAAAAGCGTATCGCCCCAAGAATGAATTACTGACTCGATGGAGTCGAGTAACTGGTACTAGCTTGTGTCTGTTTCTAGTATTTACAGAATGAATATCACTTATTTTTGTAAAACTACTTTTATTTTTGTGTACGTACATTACATTTTCATAAATGTATTGAGAGGCCAAAGTTAATGTATTAATTTCTTTAAATTTATGTCGCAGCGACTCATTAGGCTTTAAATCATAAATTGCTTTTATGGCCCTCTTCTGTAAAACAAATATAATTTCAGTTTCAGCTGCGTGTCCCCATAGTAAAATGTCATACGACATTATGCTATGGAAATAGCTAAAGTAAACTAGTCTAGCTGTTTCAGCACTGGTAAGACTTCTAATCTTTTTTGTAGCAAATGCTGGAGAATTAAGTCTAATTGCTAGTTTTGATATATGGGGGCTCCATTGAAGCTTCACGTCTAGTCTGATTCCAAGAAAAATGGTGGTATCTACAAGACTCAGCTTATCCCAATTTAAAATATTTAATTATAGTATTTAATTGTTTGACATTTGGAGTCATGAATTTCGTACATTTCGTTTTAGTGCCATTTAAATGCAAATTATTAACATTGAACCAATTTACTCATTTAGATAAAGCATTATTTACTTCGTCATATTTTAGTAATTGTCGACTTAATTTGAAAATTGAAGAAGTGTCATCTGCAAATAATACTATATCATGGTTATCCCCTACTAAGTAAGGTTTTTTTTTATATTTTTTTTATAGGATAGGGTGACAAACGAGCACACAGTCCACCTGATGGTAGGTGGTTGCTGTGGCCCATATACATCTACATCTATCCTCGATTACGAATCAAAATGCAGATGCGTTATCATCCGTGAGGACTAAGATGGAATGCTTCTCTTCCAGTAAAAAGGGTCTCTAGTTCTCTACACTCACCATACGAAACACAGCAGTGTTAAGCTGCTATTTTACGCTGGTATTCTATGAGAGCGTGGTCCTAGAGCATCACTTCTTACACCGTAGTTTTGAAGATTCCTGATTAATGTTTCATGGTGAACACAATCGAAGTTATCAAAATATACCCAAAGCATCCTGTGAATTCTCCCATGCATTAAATATATATTTAATCAGCTCCACACCGGCATCAGTTTTCGAGCGACCCCTTGTGAAACCAAATTGATTTTTATGAAGCTAGAAGGTATTATATGACAGACAGACATACTGACAAAACTTCTAAAATCCACTTACTTACCTATAGTACATCTTATTTGTGTACTCTTAAAGGTTCTTATTAGTCTTTTCGACCTGTTCTTTTATTTTTTCAGGAATCATTAGAATTATATAAACAACATTTGTAAAGATTTAATATATTATGTATATAAAACAAAACATAATATATAAAGTTACAGATGTAAACACCATTGGATATAATATGAAATTAACATCTTTCTCGCTTGTAAACGCGCCAATCTGTAATTAAAAAAAGCACATCTAATAACAAAACTGTCAAATTAAGGAGTCACCATATTTAACGATGCGGAATCGACTATTATTTACGTATTTCGAAGACATAAAGGTTTTTCTGATCGGCTGAAGCCGATTTCACGTCGATATATGTGGGGACTCTCTTTCGCCTCAGGGACCGGTTGTCTAATCCTCCGGTACCGACCTCGTTTCGGCCGTGGAAGTTAGAGAAAGGACCGCATCGCAAAGTATAAAAAATAATTGACCCAAGTGACTGGTTTTTGACTACGGATTGTAAGGATGTTACAGAGGCAAGTGGATGTTAGGTTTCCAATAGATTACACCATCGGAGGGATATTTTCCATAGTATCCGCGTTTGGCAGGCGGGTTGGACACCGAAGTTTTTATTATTTTGAGCTGTTATCATAAAGATGCTGTTGGTCATCTCCTGTTACTTTTTTTTTATAGATTTACATTACGAAACTCGTGGCATAGAACTAGTTAACGGCTCTGTGGCGAAATGACTTAGCAGTGAATTGCAGCGCTAAGGACCGCGGGTTTGAGTCCCGCACGGGACAAGTATTTGTATGGTCTAAAAATAATCATTCCGGGTCTGGATGTATGTCCTTGTGAAATTTATGTATGTAAACTATCCCCACGATACAGGAGAAAATCATTTATAATACAAAATATATTTAGTTTTAAATTATTTGTTGAAACTAATGTTACGTCACTAATTTTATCGTATATGCTACATGAAATAAATGTCTCGAAAATGACTGCACTAATTGGGCGTGTGGCTTTTTGTCGTTAAGTGGGCTTGAACACATTGAAATGGCAAACCAACGCTGGACAGCCGATAAAAATGTACCATTATGATACCATTACAGCCTACAGCCAACAGTCCACTGCTGCACACAGGCGTCCCCTATATATTGCCTTATACAGTTGCCACGTTTGTCGAGCAGGTTGGCAATCGCAGTTTTTTAATAATTTTGAGTTGTTATCTGGAAGACGCTGCTGCCGGGACACACACAGATTGTTTAGGCCCAAAAAAGGTAATTTGTACGACATCCAATCACGTTCGACTTCGTGAATCGCCCGATTGCACCAGGTGTCACGCGCATCGCGGGGAGCGGGCAGCGGTAGGCAGCTTCCCAGCATGTGACGCTCGTGGGCGAGAGAATAGTAGCTCGACGGCGGCCGGGCAGTTAATTGGTGTCTTTCGATGCCCGCCGCAGAGGTTTCGCGAGACCGTTTTTTTGTGGATTAGGGTCTAGAATTTTGGAAATTGTGCGCATGACTTCGCTACATAATTGTGTTTCGTGAAAACCGCCTCGTTTTAGGTTGTCTAGGGTTAAAGTTCTTGACAAAAGGCTTGTATTTTGTTTAACTGATTAAAGTAACATCTTTGAAAGTAATTGTGCCGTCGTGTTAAGTGCCCTTTTCTGTGTGTTAACTGTTTTGTTAGTTTTACGCGTCAACGGGGCGTATTTTGAATTCTTATCGCGGCGTAGTATTGGATATCGAACGAAGGAATTTAGTTGTGTTTGTAACGCTGAACCGTGTGACTTAACAAGAGATCGCGTTAGTTCACTATTCGTCATTTGGTGATAAACGAATCCGGGACATTGAATCTTGAACTTTGAATTACTGTCCGTTACTAAATCGGGTGTCACGTGTTCGATTCTACGATGAATGTGGAATTAGGCGAGTTTAAGTTAGTTAAACGTACAAAGAAGTTAACACTTTCACTGTCCGGTTTCCAGACACAATAGTAAGACAATAGCAGTGCCCTATATGTAGTGCACGGGACAGCGAAAGGGTTAATAGACTGAAATAGTGCCATGAAGAAAGAAATGGTCCAGCGGGGAAGCCTACTGGAGTGAGGCAGCATTGTGGGGCAGCCTGGAAATCGGCCGCTGCTGGTCTCAGCCGGGCCAGGCCTCAGATACATACACATCACTAAACACTACTTTCCATGCACCTTACACCCACCTACGGCCTGACCGAGCCTTGGGCGGTCTTAGCTTCGGATACAGGTACGTACTATATTTTTCTAGCCATCTCCCTACAGTTTGGTATGATAGGACGTTCTTCCATATGGCCATTTGGGCCCGACCCGCGTCTGCCCCTCGAGCAGGCTGCTATGGGCCCCAGCCAAGGCGACCTTTGTAGGTGCAGCTGCGGGCCGTAACACAGATGATATAAGGAAGTGGATATTCTTACACGGCGACCACACGGGCTAAGTGTAAAAATTTACACTTTATTAATAAATACCATTGAAATTAGTGTCTCTAGGATCCTACAGTGTTCATTGGAAAATAAAGCTTTGATACTGACGGGGCCATGAACTCAACGAAAGTGTGGGTTTTAAGTCACTAATATTTTAATAAACCTAGTTTCACAGGTAGTGATATTAGTTGAGTGAAATTAGTTCTTTTACGTGGTAGAGCCAGCTATATTGTAGCTATATTGTGGTTGCAGCACGAATGGGTCGGCTCGACCGCGGTAGGACCACGCTCTCACAGAATACCAGCGTAAAATAGAAGCTTGATGCTGCTGTGTTTCGTATGGTAAGTGTAAAGAATCGGAAACACTTTTTACTGGAAACTAAGCACTCCATCTCAGTCCTCAGGGGTGCCGGCGCATCTGTATTTTGATTTTTAATTGAGGATAAATGTAGATGTCTATGGGCTACAGCAACTAATTACCATCAGGTGGACTGTGTGCTCGTTTGTCGCGCTTATTCTATAAAAAAAAATTTCAACCATGCATGCCACTAGTTTCGTAATGTAAATCCGGCTTTACGACACCCTCTCACGTTATATCCAGCGACATCTCATGATATAAGATAGTGAATTCCAGTAGGTACATCGTCACTGCACAGCAATATTAAAATATAATTTTACATTTACATTAATATGATGGATATGTTTTTATTGAAGCATTTAAATATATTTAATAAAATGTAAATTTCAAACCTTAATCCATCTTAAAACCCTCTTTAATAATAAACAAGGAACACAGTAGTTATACTACGTCATAGATTTTTTTATAGTATAAGAGTGTCAAAAGAGCACACAGTCCACCTGATGGTAAGTAATTGCTGAGGCCCATAGACATCTACATATATCCTCGTATGCGAATCAAAATGCAGATGCGTTGTCACCCGTGAGAACTAAGATGGAACACCTCGTTTGCAGTAAAAAGGGTCTCCGGTTCTCTAAACTCACCATACGAAACACAGCAGCTTTAAGTTGCTATTTTACGCTGGTATTCGGTGAGAGCGTGGTCCTTCCCCGGTCGAGCCGTTATAGTATTGTAAAATGTAAACAAATACTTACTCCGCCATGTGTTACAATTTTCATACTGCATTTCGCAGTAATTGGGGAAATCTTTGAAGTCATCGTTATAATTGCGAGCGCAAATGTGTTGATACCTGTAAAGAAACATACGAGCTTATTAAGTCGGAGCTTTAGGTTTCCTTGACGTCGGCTTTTACTTTGTATTAAAAGTTTAATTTTTAACAGTCTTGAATGAACGAAGAAATATCACAAGATCAAGGTAACAACTTGAATTTCGTCTAATATATTATATCTTAATAATTTATTATAGTTCCGCGAACACCACACATTTAAATAAACTGTGGATGATGTAAAGTGCTCGAAACGTATGGAATATAGAATAAGTTAATATAAGCGATAAAATCCGTAAAAACTACTTTATTTACATTAATATCCTTAATTTATACTTTCCCACCCATAGGATACTATACGGGATTATTCTTGAAGTATATTCTATTTAATAAAAAAAGATCATTAAGACTTGTTCACTATTGACAAAGATATTGCGTAACATATATGTACACCACGAATTGACGTAATTTTTATTCAGTATCCTGATACAGTTTAATTTACCATCTAGGGCTTAATCACCACTTATCATCAGGTTGAATTGTAATCAAGTACTTGCTTTAAATAAGTAAATAAAGAAGGTAGAATCGAATTGAGAACCTTCTGCTTTTTTGAAGTCCGTCAAAACTGTAAAAGTCAAAAGTACAAAGGCGTAGCTCAGGGAATACAAAGGCCTCCTTAAAATTTTATAGTACCCGAGCAAACAGCTTGATCTCCATCGGCACCATTGAAACTAGTTATTTTAATTTTAAATTATATGTCTATGTCAATAATTTTAGGGTATGATGTGGTCGAATAATTGGTTCGAGATAAAAAGCCTCTAAATAAATGAAAATAAAAATGGCCATTGACTACGCGCTTAGCCACGAAGGGAATAATCGTGAGGAATCTACATAACTGAGTAATGAAGTATATTTTTATGATAAGGGTGACAAGCATGCACACAGTCCACTTGATGGTAAATGGTTGCTGTGGCCCATAGACATCTACATCTATCCTCGTTTGCGAATCAAATGCAGATGCGTTGTCAGCCGTGAGGACTAAGATTGATTGCCTCTCTTTTAAGTAAGAGAGTCTTCGGTACTCTACTTTCACCATAAGAAACACAGCAGAACCAAGCTGCTATTTTACGCTGGTATTCTGTGAGAGATGCTTCCCCGGTCGAGCCGACCCATTCGTGCTACAACTATACGATTAATACAGCTGCAGCATGGCTCTACCACGTATAAAACGTATATTTTAAATGAAGTTCGCTAAAACGAAATAAAGACTAACCTCATTGATATAACGGAAGACCTGTGCAATGTAGGTGCTTTTCAAGCTTCTACATAAATGGACTTTCTGATCCGTGCCCAGCAAAATAGTATCATAAATACCTAAATAGTATTTCTGAAGTGTGGCGTATAAAAACAAAAATCAATGGACTAGCCAACCAGAAAGTGGTTGCATTTAGATTTTATATACATATATTATTTATAGGGAGCAAATGAGCATGCGGCTCACCTGATGGTGAGTGACTATCGCCCCCATGAACACCTGTAACACCAGGTGAATTACAGTTGCGTTACTTTTTAAATAAATGTAGGCACTTTTCTTGATGTACTAACCTAAGTTTTTTTTTTTTATATAATAAGGTTTAATAATTTAAAATTTAAAATTTTTAACAGCCGACTTCAATATAAGTTATTAAGAATAACTCAAAGCTATTGGTCTGACCTTGATCAAATTCATATGAGACCACATGAGAAGTATCATCTTTTATATAAAAAAAGAATCATCGAAATCGATTCACACAGTAAAAAGTTATGAGGTAACACACATAAAAAAAACATACAGTCGAATTGAGTACCGTCTCCTGTTTGGAATTCGGCAGAAAACGAGCACACAGTGGACTATATTCAGGTAAATCTGATGTGGTCGATGCTATGGCCCACAGACACCTTTGCCTAGTTTCCAGTAAAAAGTGTCTCCGGTTCTCTACGCCCACAACGCTGGTATTCTGTGAGAGCGTGGTCCTTCCCCGGTTAAACTAATCGGTTCGAACCACAACTGTAATAGCTGCAGCATAGCTCTACCACGTATTTATATTTTTTTTATTTAGATATACTTATTTTGACGCGAAACTTACCTGTAACTTCGTGGACAATTATCCAAGAAATTTCTGCATCCCTTCACAAAAAAATCCGTGGCGAAGAAGAGCGTATCTTTGGGATAATTGACGATTGGCTTACGGGTTTTTGAAGAAGTTAATGTCACAATCAGCGCCAAAATAAAAGTAACTGTTGGATAATAAAAAAAAAAGATCTAATTGAATTAAAATTAGCCTCTCAAAAATATTAAATAAAAATTATTTATCTCTACATAGTGTGCGCTTGCACTGAAGCGGAGACGACACCAGAAGAGAGGAGCTATGGAAATGGTCCACCCATTTTCATTGCATTTTCATTAAACTTATGTTGAAATGAGTAGCCAAGAGGCTGTATCACATTAGCACCAGTTCGTTTCGCGCTAATTTATTCCACTCCGGTTTTTATTTTTTATAATTCGAACCATTTTTTTTTCTCCTAGAACTATATTTCAATTGAAGCAAGCAAGCATTGACTTATAAACTTAAATTGTATACAATTAAATATAAAGGCTATCTTAGCCTTTGAGAAAAGAAATAGTCCTTTTTATATTACGTAATTAGTCTATTCCAGCACCTCGTGTATGGTTTCTTAACTGTAAACATCAGTTCGATGAAAACAAACCTTGATTTCAGAATAGACAATAGTTTAAGTAATCTTGCGTGTTTTTACAATGGCAATAAATTCTAAAATTCTGTGTAAATTTCCAGATCCACTACCCCGCATCGTCTCGTGAGTTTCGTAAGAGGCGACAGATGGAAAGAAACCAGGGCAGCAGCGTCTACCTAACAGAACCTAAAAAATAAAAAAAATGCGGTACCCCGCCCGCCTGCCAATCGTGGCAACTATGGCAAATATCCTCCCATTGAGGTAATCTATGAGGGATATTTGCGTACTAAAGTTATTGCTACAATCATATAATAAAAATTGTACCAGAGATAACAAACAGAAATGTAGGGCGGCGCCAATAGATTAACTGACGACCTGGTAGGACATGAAGGAAGTCGATCGATGCAGGTGGTTCAGGACCGGCATTCCTTGAGGGAGGTTTATGTTCAGCAGTAGACGTGTAAAGGCCTGTAATGAAGATGACAATGATAAGAAAGATGATGATGTATATGAAGTTTTACCATAATCACCACACCTGAAGCTGGTTGAAGATCACCGTAATAGACGTCTCACACTACTCACCGTCTGAGTATTTAACTACTGCCCTAAGCTAATTTATATTATACTAGCCCGCCAGGCAGACGTTGTTCTGCCCTTTCCAACGACCCTTCCTATAAAAATCCCTAAATTCGCAATAAAAAATTTTTAGGCTCACTTATCGGGATAAAAAAATAAACTTTCTTTCAAGTTGCACCAAACTGCACACAGTGTGCAAAACTTCTTTCAAATCAGTTCAGTAGTTTAGGAGTTCATCGCAGACAAACAAGGTGACGCGTAATTTTTAAATATAAAAAGATTAATATTATAGGCTATATCTAAGAGAATACCAGTGTAAAATAGCAGATTAACGTTACTGTGCTTCGTATGGTGAGTGTAGAGAACCTGAGACTGTTTTTACTGGAAAGGAGGCATTCCATCTTAGTCCTCAGGGGTGACAACGCATCTGCATTTTGATTTGCATTCGAGGATAGTTGTAGATGTCTATGGGCTACAGCACCCGCTTACCATCTGGTGGAATGTTTGCTCGTTTGTCACCCATATCCTATAAAAAAAACAGAGGGCAATCTTTCTGACATTTCTCACAGTCGCCTCTTACGACATTTATGGGATGAATTCGAAAGACTGATTCTCTTACTAGGCCAGTCCACGGCAATCTTTAAGCTACCCAATATTATAAGTTTAATGAAAACATGAAATAAAATAATAATAATAATATACTTTTTTATAGGATACGGTGACAAACGAGCAAACAGTCCGAGATGGCAAGTGGTTCCTGTAGCCCATAGACATCTACATCTATCCTCGTTTGCGAATCAAAATGCAGATGCGTTGTCACCCGTGAGGACTAACACGGAATGCCCCTTTTCCAGTAAAAAGGGTCTCTGGTTCTCTACACTCATCATACGAAACACAACCTTAAGCTGCTATTTTGGTATTCTGTGAGAGCGTGGTCCTTCCCCGGTCGAGCCGACCCATTCATGCTCCAACTATACTACTAATATAGCTGCAGCGTGGCTCTACCACGTTTAAAAATTTAATATATATTAATTGATTATTATTACAGCATATAAAATGTCCATTGGGTGTACATTTGCCATAGTTGTTACGGTTGGCAGGCAGGTTGGCAATTGCAGTTATTTTTTACTTATTATCAGGAAGGCAAGGCTGCTCTTCTCCTGGTTTTTTTCCCTCTGTTGCCTCTTACCTCTGGTCCATGGGACGATATAAGGACGTGAATATAACTAATCATTTTATAAAATGTTAGTCTATTGAAACTACCTAACTATTGAAGTTAAACTGAACTTTAACCTTATCTGCATAACCTAAAGTAATTTTCATGAAACGTTGCGAGTAATCCAAGAAAACGATTACAAAGTCAATTTATACAGTAAAAACAGATTACATACCTACTATATGCTTACACATTGCACAAACTGTGATTGCTTTGAAGTTTATTTCATCAATATAGGATATAAAATTTACGATAAGGTAAAGGTGTGTCGTACATGGTGAGAACTTGGAGTAATAACACATCTTAGCTGGTACTTGCTAAGAGAACGAAAAAAAAAGTTTATATATTTTTATTAAGGTCATCGATTACGCTTTATAACCGACTTCTAAAAAAGAAGGTGGTTCTCAATTTGACTGTATTTTTTATGTGTGTTACTTCAGAATTTTATTCTAGGTGAACCGACTTTGACAATTCCTTTTTTATTTAAAAGCTGGTGCTTATCATGTAATCCCATATAAATTTGAACGAGATCTGACTAGTAGTTTTTGAGGTATCATTAATAATGCATATTTTATTGACTTCGAATACATACATTTTTAATTTTGCCACTTGTCTAAAATATGGATTGAAGTTCACAGCAGGTATTTCTATGTCTAGTGTAGCGTAACGGATTAGTAAGCTGAAGTGGCAATGGGCCAGCCATATAGCTCGAAGAAGTGATAACCGATGGGGAAGAGAGGTTTTCCAGTGGCAGCCTCGTACAAGTAGGTAAAGTGTAGGGCGGCGACCCACGAAGGGAACGACGATCTGGTAAGTTATGCAGAAATTCGATGGATGCAGGTGGCTCAGGACCGTGCTTTGTGACATTCCTTGGGGGAGGCCTATGTTAAGCAGTGGCTTTAATGAATATATGCATGAATGAGTGTAGCGTAAAAAATAAAATATATTTTAGTTTTGCCGTGAATACTAGCTTAACTTTATATAATTCAGATTCGATCCAAGTAATTCGTTTCAACTGATTTCTTAAAATAGAAAATAGTAAAATAATTTTTTTTCAACATAGGTATGTAGATTTTAAAAAGTTATTTTAGAGTCATTTTTGCATGTCTTAAGCGCAAAGTGCGTAGGTATGTTCTACTAGCGCCTAAAAATCAAAATTCCAACGTTTTGTCGCATGAAATCGTATCTAACAATCATGTTGAACATATAATTTTTTTTATGAGATAAGGGTGACATACGAGCATACAGGCCACCTGATGATAAGTGCTTGCTGTGGCCCATACACATCTACATTTATCCTCGATTACGAATCAAAATGCAGATGCGTTGTTACCCGTGAGGACTGAGATGGAATGCCTCGTTTCCAGTAAAAAGGGTCTCCGATTTTCTACACTCACCATACGAAACACAGCTGCATCAAGCTATAGCATAAGATAAGACTCGCTCTTGGATCGTTACTCACACTTGCGTGTGGCTCCAAAGAAGACGTGTACAGCTGCCCATAGAACCTCTCAATCTCACTCAAAATCCCAGTTTCCCCGGAAACGACGCTGCCACACTCGGTCTTCAGCTTCGACAGTTGGCTCTTTCTGGCAGACAGATATCTGGCAAAGACTTTGGAGCCTTGCTTCCGCTCGATCGCATTTTCAATACAAGCTGTATTGAAGTTGCGTAAGTCCCGCCGCATGCATTTGGAGATCTCTCTGTTCAGTTGCCTGTATGCTGTCAAATCTGTTGAAGAATGTAGCTTCATCTCCTGTCTAACAGCCATGAGATTGAGAGTGTGATCGGAGAGTTTTGTTTGTTCTTCTGCAGCGGGTCTTGCAGAACTTAGCTCCGACCGCATTGACAGTTTCCACGAGCTTGTCATTCATATCGTCCACTTCATTGCAGTTTTCTAGGCACTAAAAATGGTTTTGTAACTCGAGCTGAAAGGTTTCGGGACTTTCGAACAGACCATGAGGGTGACGGAGCGTTGACTTCATTAGACGAGACCTCTCCAACTTAACGTTTAGGTTCAGTGTGCCTCCAACCATTCGGTGATCGCTGCTGGTTTTCACCCTCGCGATCACTGAGACGTCACTGAACAGTTGTCGTCTGGTCGTCATAATGAAGTCCATCTCATTTTTTGTCGAACCGTCGGGGCTCGACCAGGTCCACTTCCTGTGAGGCCACTTCTGGAAGAAAGAGTTCATTATAAAGAGTCCCTCTTTCTCCATGAAGTCGGCCAGCTGCAGGCCCCTTGGGTTCCGTTGCCCTATTCAAAATTTCCCTACTTTCATACCACCGTTCTCTTTTGTGCCTAGTTAGGCATTGAAGTCTCCCATTAACACCGTATATTGGGTTTTGGGTTTGCATGGCTCTAGAGATATCCTCATACATTTCCTCCACCTCCTCATCGGGGTGTGCCGAGGCTGGTGAGTAAACCTGTATGACCTTCAGCGAATACCGTTTGGTGATTCTGAGTATAAGGTACGCAACCCTCGACGACACACTCTCAATCTTTACAACGTTGTTAACGAGAGACTTGTGAACGATAAATCCGACACCTCCTTGGGACAGATGGTCGCCGTCCCGGTAATAGAGCAAGTTGCCGGATTCGAGGATTACCGTGTCCTCCCCCTCTCTTCGCACTTCGGATAATCCTATAATATGCCAGCGTAACTTGTCTTTCTCTTCTTCCAGCTCCACGATCTTCTCGTCAGTCCTCAGGTTGCGTGCGTTGTATGTTGCCAGGTCGA